GTTTATAATTCGTTCACTCATATCTTCACAATTGTAATCGCTGATCAAAATCGTCTTCATTAAGTTCTTGTACCAAGTGAATTTTATACGGGTGAAAGCTATGGGCCTTTAGAATCCGTTGGACAGTGCGTCGACTAACACCACACACAGTCTCCAATTTGCGGGTACTTAACGTAGGATCTACATAAACTTGCCCTAAAACCCCCACCCCTATTGCTTCGTTCCTTATGGGATTTTCAATGTTGCGTTTTTTATTGGCGACTGACCCAGCTTCTCGAAATTTAGCTACAGGTTCTAGATCATATTTTCGATGCACGTTACTGTTCGCTTGTCGGTCATTAAATATTTCTGCTGTTCTATTAGCGCACAGATTATTTCCGAAAAATATTTCGATAATTTCAACTATTTCTGCTGTGGAATATACCATGGTTAATTTATGTAATAAGTTATTTTAGCAACAAAGTTTGGTCAAATCAATCGCAAACTATGTACTAAACTCCTATTTAAAATAATTTCTGGGCTAAGTGGAAGAGCAGGTTGTTGGTACTGTGTACTAATCAAACTGAAGTTCGCCTTTTATTGACACTGGATGTACTTATGTTCACTTACCATTTTGTCAATGTCTTATGTCAATAATAAAGACGGTTATTATTATTATTATTAAGTACGAGATATTTCCTTATCTTTTTCAAGAAATAACGTTTTTGACACAGAAAAACGCTCCAATAGCTATTTTCAACAACAAAATGATAAACAAACCATGGGCGTAGTGAAGAAAAGCATTTACTTATTAAGTAAATTCTTTTAGTCAAATTTCTTCTGAAAGTAGTAAGTACAAACTAATCTGATGATATAAAGTCTATTTTAAGCTTTTAATCAATAAATCTTCAAAACTAATGAACTGAAGTATTAATTTTATACCATTATAAATGGAATTGAAAGACCTTCAAAATAAGGTATCACTCGACCCCCTTTCCATTTAATACTTTAGGGTCGGTGTCACCCCCGCCCAGGGGGCTGCACGTGTTAACGTGATTTTTTGCCAAACTTGTGTCTCCTCGAAAAAAAAATCGACGGGTCTGAGCGTTTTTCCAAAAAAAAAACTGAGCTGCCAGTAAATGCGTCTGCTTCGTTTTCGATGCGCCACCCTGTATAATCAGTTACCGGTAGATGGCTTATGGAGTACTGCACTATTGGTACTATGGGGTTGGTAAAAATGGTCATAGGCGACCTAGTTGCTAGACTTGTATCTCTACCACTACTGCTACTACTACTACTCATACGAATCAAGGAGTAGCTCGGTTTATGTAAATAATTTTTTAAACTGTTTCCAGTGTGTAAATGATTGGCAGCAAAAGAATAATTACAGCTTGTCTGCAAAATCTAGTGATCGCTTAGAATAACTGAGAACCCGAATCCACCACCAGCAGTCAGCTGTACCTACCAATCACTAAAAGCAAACAATATCGTCGATGCACAAATGAATAAATAACCTCCTTAAAAAACCTCATTTAGACTCCCCAGCGTGTTTTGTTTATCTATCACGATCGCTGCGCGTTTGTTTAGCCTTCGAGAGAGGGGCCAAGTTCGAAGTGGCCCTTAGGAAGAACTGCGATTTGTGTTTTTATCGTAGGCCATATGGCGCCGGAAAGGTTTCGACACCCGTGCTACCAGCAATGCTTTTGTTAGATGGCCCTCTAATGATAGTATTGTGCCCGTCGGCAGCGGTAGTGCCCTTTACTATGCCCTTTTTAATGACAGGAACGACGGGTGACCCACAGATACTATTATTCCTACTGTTCGATATAGTTAGATGCTTTATCAGGAGGCAGGTTGTTGTTATGATCTATAACATACAGTGCTTTTCAAAAAGTCCCCCACCCACACATTTTTTTGGACAGGTTAAATTGGAAAGCTGACATTCAAGGTTATGGAGTTCATGCATGAATATCAGGATTTAGCATAAAGGTGACAATTGAAAATTTTAAGAATATTGGAACATTTTTTTAATAGAATTACGGGTCAGGTGGTATCTCATTTTAAAAGTAACCTAACCCGATATGTCTTCCATGCTTCTTCGAAATAAGCTTTTGCGTATATTTCCATTTCATAACTTTATAAAAGCAGCTGTATGGCACAATACTACAGATACCAACTGTTGTAGTGATTGTTAGATTCCTTGGGGAAAACAGATATTATGAAAGACTCTTGTTCGTCTCCGGCAAACTTAATTTGGGTCAATTCCATCATCCCGAATTTCACCCCGCTGACTAGATTCATTGAAAAAATACCTTTTTGAAAAGCACTGTATAACCAGATTTTTGTAATTGGGTCAAACATTCAATAAATGAATTCCCGGTCGATGTGAAGATTAGTTTCTCATTCAACATTTTTCAAGAACCTCACCTTTCTGAAGATGTAGTGATTATTTAAAATAACTAGAGACATCTAGCTATTAGATAAGACTTCAGTCCTCTTTTTAGATCATTAAATTCGTAACTTATTTCTTAAATGCAGTAACTGCAGTACGATTAATCGGATTATTGTTTCATGCGTCGCAAGAATAATGATAATGGAGTTAGGAAAGCAGTAGAGAGTAGAATATGAGACACTTGTGTTCTAGCTGAAGGTGCCATTTTAAACAGTTTAAGCCAATTGAGAATGTTCACACAATTAAAATAGTGCCAAAAAGAGCGTGCAGTAAATACTACGCAGCCATACGAACTGAGAACCCTTGATGAGCAAGTGGTGTTTAGGTATTATATCATTATTTTCACATATGAATCAAAAGTAATCCTTGCAAAACCAAATCAATCACCTTTACCATTCACATTTAGGGAACGATCTTAAACTTTTCTGTTCTTAAGTTATGATACCGTTGTTACTGAGCCGATTCTCAAAAATGAACACTACTACGACCCTATAGCACACACCCATCAACTTCATCAAAATCGATACAGCTGTTTCCGAGATTTCTGGGGTAAAAGGAACTGACAGGCAGATAGGGAACCAGATGGGCAGTTAGACGGACAAACCAATATGAAGAAGCAGGGTGGTCTTTTGAAAATTGCCAAAGGATAAAGTAATATTAAAATAGTCCATTCTTGTATTATGCATCAGAAACTGGTTCGGTTGAAATACTTGTTCAACAATTTTGAACATACTGCATACTTTGACAACATTAGCTAATAAGAGGCAACTAATGATAAAGGAGATCATTCCTGAAGTGTTGTATATGAAGGATCCAAAATCAATTAAACTCACATATTTTGGGTGCATATCGTTTATCTGAAAATTTTCCAATCAACAGTGTCAAGAGCAAATGGACGTTAAAGGCGCTGACCACATGCTTCAATAGGTAGGGCAAAACTCTTAAGGAAAAATTCAACGACCATAAAATCTTGGTGCAATCAATATTATAAGCCTGTAAGTGATAAGACGCCAACATACAGTAAAATTCATTCACGTGGTTGGGCGTCGCTTTCAATGTGTATGAGAGAGAGATAGAGAAGTGTGCAACATCATGCAACACGTATGTCAGAAGTATGTGAGAGTGGGAGAGGGCGCGGAGCGCGGCTGTGATTTGGCGCGTTACCAACAGTTACACATTTGTCTTGAATTATGGTGTATGATGAAAATAAGCTTTGTTTTCTACGTTCAAATAGTGGTTTTATTTTGAGCGTACAAATCTCTGAATCACAAATTAGGTCGAATCAGCTTAGAATCGATACCGAGTCAGTCTTACGCTCAGATACTGAAAAGGAAGAGAGCAGAAAAACACATCACACGCACATGCACGTGGCATGTATTTGAGTACTGCAACTTTGTCAATTCAAAGAGATATCGCATTAGCATGGGCTTGTGATGTAATTTCACTGCTCTCTTCCATTTCGGTACCTGAGTGTAACGGTTTTAAGTGGAACTGAAAGTTCATGATCGCTACAGATTTTGTCATTGGTTTACCAAAGCTGGATCTTGATACAATCCAACGCAAAGTTTCCACGTCCATAGATTCATGATGGTCTAATGTCTTTTTTCCAACAAGTTCACAGTCGTATTACTAAACTTAAAAACCTGACGTTATGTGTTTTTTGACATTATGCAGAATATCCGAAAAAATGTCAAGTTGAACCTAGCTGTCATTCACCTGCTGTTCACATGTAGTAGCTGTGCGTGTTACTAACTCCTTGAATCCATGCCAAGCATTATTAAATACAGCGTTTGTTGTAGACCAATTAACGAGATGCGATGTTGAGAAACCGATGACGCAATGTTGCAGAATTTGTGGAGGTCCTGAAGTTTAGACTAAAACGGATTCGACACAGTTCGCGATTCAGAAATGTGTACGTACAAAATGAACTCACTGAGCCAAGTGAATAAAAAGTAGTAAACACTAGGAAGTATTTACTTTTTAGTAAAGTAAGGTCTGTCAAGTAAAAGCAAATACTTAATTTAGAGAGAATATTTACTTATAAACGTTCCAATTTAAGTGTTTGCTTCGCTACACCAGTACCTACTACGTATTCCTTACGACGCGACGGCATCATGTCTAGTAGTGAAGAAGACAGTAGTGCATATAAAAATGAAAGCTGTAAAGTTGAAGCGAGTAATACGCAAAGTAAGATGCTCTTTGTGAGTTTATTGAAAAACCACTGAGTGGTATTAAATAAATCTATGTTGCCGAAAATTGTGGCAGCGAAAAGCCTGGAATGAAATAAAAGATGAGTACACTAAAGGCATTGGCAAAGTAATCACCATAGCACAACTGAAAAAACTCCTGAATAATAATTATGAAGACGAATATTAAGAAAAAAACGGATACAAACGCGGCGGGTAATAAACCGGTGAAAGTGGATAAATAGGAAAGTGAATTTCTAGAAATCGTACAGTTTGAAGAGAATCCTGTTTTTTCAAGCTCCTGGAGGCGTTGCAGCTGGAGTAACAATGGACAATTCATCAGGTGCATCGCTTGTAGGAATCCGAAATGTGCCCTTCCTGCCATGTGCCATGTGCCAGATGTAGCCTCAAAAGGGACCAGAAGTCCGCCCCGTCAGGAAGTTGATGTGGTACAACGACGAAAACGTGTTCTGGAGGGTGAAGAGCGGAAACATCTCACCTTACAACTACTGAGTTGCAACACCTTGTACTATTACAACAGTTGGCAGCAGCGAGGTTGCAAGGGGACACAGACAAGTTAGTTATTGAATTATTGAAAGAGCGGTTAGTTCAAAATGGCGACGAGAACATTCTAACAGAGCTCGGAACATATTTACTGTTACACAAGTAATATTTTCTTTTTATGTATTCAGTTGTCGCAAATAAACGTTTCCTTGTTAAAGGCATGTTTAATTCAGAAAATTACAAAAAATGTAATAAATTTAAAAACTGCAATAATATCCTCGCGTTTTCTTACTCCTGTACGGCGCAAACGGTTACCGTCGTCACCTTCCTCGTCTTCATACATTACATTACTTCGTCCAAAAGTTCATCTTCAAAGGCTCCTTCAAGGTCAAAGTCATCATTCAAATATTTTGCTATATTATGCAGTACTGCGCAACACGATATTATTTTCGGGACCTTCTCACTTGATACTCCGACAGTATTGCTGGGTATAGGAAAGCGCATTGTCAGTTGTCCGAATAGTCTTTCTATTGTCACCCGTTCCCGCGAATGTAACAGGTTAAACCTCTTGTTGTTTGTTTATTGTAGGTCTCAATGGAGTCAAGAGCCATGGTGATATTCCATATCCAGAATCACCAAGGAGACAAAAAGATCCCTTAAACTGTGATAATACTTCACTTAGTGTACTTCGCCTCCAAACCCTGCCATCGTGTACACTTCCCCGCCACTGCGCATCTTGTAAATTTTTCGGTAGCATCACACGTAGCTTGTATATTTATATACTTATATAGCCTTTGCGATTTACGAACTCGTCAGCAAATCTTCTTGGCCTTTTCATTTTTACGTGAGTGCAATCCAACGCACCGATCACAGTAGGAATTGTGAAACGTGATTGATATTTAATTTTTACAACTTTAGTTTAGCAACAGTTGTTAGAGAAGTAATCCAGTGATCAGCCTTCTGATACACTTTATTAAGAACCCAACTTATCGTTTTGCAGGGTATAGTGCGGTGAATCCCATACTCTTCTGCTACTCCGCTCTGAAACCCTGGATCGCCTAGATAGCGTAGAAATGTCTCCATTTTTGTTCTTGCAGATAGTGCTCCGCCTCTGCGTTCATTATTTTCTGGCAGAAACTCGGAACATAAGAAGTCTGCACTTTCTGAATCAAACCTTAACAAACGTTTTGACTGACTAGGGCTAACATTCCGTCTTTTTCGATATGTTTTACCCGGATGTAACTGGATGAAATCTGCCATGTTCAACCGTAAGTATACTATTCACTTACCTTACAAATGATCCAGTATTTACTAACAAATAAGTATTTAACTGCCCATTATTCACTCAGGTTTAAGTGAATAGTCGGAAAAATTAAGGTTTTACTACATAAGCTAAGCACTTACTACAAAGAGAAGTAAATACTTGATCTAAAGTATGTACTTCATATTTTATTCACAAAATCCTAAGTATTTACCTACAAATGCCTAGTACAAGCATTTACTAGTCTATTCACTTGGCTTATTGAAAGCGGGCTCCGAAAAAAGTAAATGAATTCCACTTTATATCTTGTAGCATTCCCTAATTCTTTCTAGCTACTTCATGCATACCAACAGAACCTGGCTGCATGGACCACAGTCCAAAAGCCAATAACTGAAAAAAAAACAACTAAAGCAAAAGAGTTTGCGAAATTAGTGTGGGCTTCGGCTCCACGAGATTCGAAAGATGAGTGGTCGTGGCACGGCCACAATGCTTTTTCGCTTTTGCTAAGATGCATGATGTAAAACTACATGTAGCTGCAAAAGTTTCGTTAAGTAAAAGTGTTTATAATAAGCATAATACTGCACAAGTACAACGCATTATCAGAATCGACCACTGGATGGGTGAATCGCAGCTATCTGTTGGAGCTGTAAAGGTATCTCGGTTTGCGTCGATAGTCGAGTCATCACTGTGACCACTTGATGCCGTCGATTCTGGTGACACAATATATGATGGTAGTCGCCATTAAAAAATAATAATACTTCTTTTATCGGCTCGATTAACGGGGTTAATCATATTTGGATATAAATTTAACGTACGATGGGGCATACTTTGCTTTGCTTTCTCTTGTCGTCCTACCTAGATACCTAGCCTATACCATGCTCATGATTGTCAATAAACATAAAATAGCTGTACATGTTTGGTTCTCTGTTGGTTGGGCGAATGAGAGCAGTAATGTCAAGTATCGTATTAATATGCAGACACCACTAGCAATCAACTGGCAGTACACTGGCCCTCTTGCCCGCAAATATATTCTTTCGCATTGATGAAACTTTTGGTAACGTAATTGGCTCAGTGGTAATTGGAGAACGAATAGGGGGGTCCGATAACTTCATTCGAATTGTAAATCATATTGTCATTCCATTTTCGCCCGGACGAATGATTCCATAGGCTTATTGTCGGCTGATCCGTTTGGGTTTAATGATGTTTGGCAGTACGACAGCCGCGACGATACTTCTTTGTGTCGCTATTCTCATGTTATTCATGAAGTTTTGTCTCAATTTTATCAAACAAATTGCCACAAATATACAAACTGATTACCCTGTGAATTTCGTTAACGCAGCATAGGGTTTCTGTAAAATAAGTAAATTTTCATAGTAACACATACGCCAATGTCAAGGGATAACAATCAGTACAACCTGTATCTTGGGCAAGAAACTATCACTACTTGGCTAATAGCTATACTAATTGTTAGTCCATTTTATCAAGGTAGACCGACTTTTGTGTGCGTAATACTTTTCACAACAGAGGTGTATCAATACGTGAAAATTCGGTCATCCTATAAACGTACTTGTGTTATTCGAATTCCAAGTATAAACCGCCAAACTATGATTTTTACAGAGATAATTTGTATATTAAATATTGTGTGCTTAAAATACTTGCAGCCGAAATGCCGGTAAACATTTTTATCCGACATAAATTGCTTTAAATATTTATTGGCCAAAAAAGGCACAATGATCGGATACTAGCTAGTGTCACACCGCCAATGTTCTTTCTAAATGATGAAGCATCACTTCAACTGACTCCATCTGTCGAGAAGTATAGTATGCAATGGAGCAATTTTGGGCATCAAATTTCAAAGCCTACTGTGAGTGCATAATAAATAACAACTTATCAAGGCAGAATTACCATTATAAACGCGACTGCAGGATGAATAGAGTATTTTCTTTTAGAATAACTTTAATGAAGAGGGTGTGTAACAGTAGCGTCTCTATAGATAGATAAATCGTTAAGTACGGGGTACCAGGACTGCTATAAAGTAGTAGCATATATCTTGTCAATCCCAGTATTGAACTACTTATTATCTTTGGTGAATTTTGATAGCTAATGATAAACTAGAGTTACTCCACAGAGCTTTTATATTTTTGGAGCCATTTGGAAGGTATTTGTTTTATTTCAGATGCTTGTAACAAATTTGCCTTGTAGATTAACTCAGTATCTTCCCTATTAACTTTTAAAGATGTGTATGGCAAGGACACATACCCGCAATCTTCCATAAAGTACCTAGGAGTGTGCTTAGATAGCAAGCCGACCTTTAAAGATCACTTCAACAAGACTGCATCTAAAGACAAAAATATAGTTTCGACACTGTCCAGATTAATTCCCAATACAAAAGGCCCTAAATCGAGCAAAAGGAGGACTATCAGCAGAGTAGAACAGTCTGTGATACTGTACGCGGTTCTAGTGTGGTGCGATGCTATGGATGCTGGTAGAACTCGGCAGCGACCAAATGCAGTGATAATGAAAGTGGCACTGAGGGTTTGTAGTGCTTATAGGTCGCCGTAGCGGTGATTTCAGGGATTCTCCCAATAGACTTATTGATGAGGCAAAGAGCGGAGCTATGCTCAAATCTCAGCAAAAACACTGCAAGAGCGAACATTTTCGTACATTGGCAGACACGATAGGAAAATACTGAAAAAGGAAGTTGTGCACGGACACTAGTAAGGAACATCGAAGAATGGTGTAACAAATCTCATGGGGAGGTGGACTTCTTTGTAACCCAAATATTGTCGGGACAGAGATTTTTTTTCAAACCTACTTATATAGTTTTAAGATAGTAGACAGTCATACATGCAAGTACTGCAGGTTACAGGACGATGATGCTGAACATAGCTTTTTCCATTGTCAGCAGTGGCATGACCCGAATGCCCTTCATTAATTGGAAAAGATATAACTAAAGCCAATGTCGCAAAATTCATACTAAGGAGCGAAAAGGACTAAGAATGTAAAGCTAAGATGGCTAGAAGTATAGTGGAGAACCAGAGAAACGCACAGGACAATGCTACTACAACATAGCAAATCAAGACGGCCGTATGAAGGACACTCGCAACAGCGACGCAATGTTCCTGTAGTACCGTTGTTTTGTGGAAATGAGGCAGCGGCAGATGTTTTTCCTGGAGTAGGATCCTCCAATCACCGTAAAGAGCGGTGCGTGCATCTATAACCGCGGCGAACACATCAAAACACGAAGACCAACATGTTTTTCCTCTGCACACAAAAATAACTTTTAAAGAAAGTCCACGGACATCGCAGCAACATTCTGCAACAGAATCAAAGCCTTTATTCAGGGTATTGTCGAACAATATTCCCGCATATAAACTAGCTTGATCCGTTAAGATTGAAACATCAAAAACGTATCCTCCAGACATGTCAAGCAATCTCTCAAGAGTCAGAAACTTGAAAGAATGACATATTTACGAAAAGCGGATTTTAAGTTTGACGACACATTGACAGATTTCACCGTCATTGAGTCCAGAAACAAATATAAAGCAGCGGTTCGCAATGCCAAAAACCAGCATGATATAAAAGTTAGGCACAGGGTAATGTCGAAGCGCAATGGCAGTCGGTCTTTCTGGACGCTGGCCAAGCAGATTGAAAGGAACTTCTCACACAGTAGCCTTCCACCACTTACGTGTCAGGATGGAACTATTGTATTCAACTCAAAGGCCAAGGCGGAAGTGCTAGCCAAGATCTTTGCTGATAACTCCACCGTGGACGTCACCCCCACCGCCCAAGTGCCGTCAATTCAAAGGGTTCCCTACACTATGCGGGAGGTAACATTCAGGCATAAGACCGTAAGACGAGTGCTCTTGTCGCTCGACATCAACAAAGCTTCTGGTCTGGACTTGATTCCTGCCATTGTACTTAAGAGGTGTGCACCGGAGCTTGCTCCAGTTCTTTCGCGTCTCTTCCAGATATGTTATGAATCCGGCACCTTCACAGAAAACTGGAAATTTGCTCATGTCCAACCCATCCCAAAAAAGGGATCTAAGACCGACCCTTACAACTACAAGCCTATAGCTCTGCTTTCTGTTTTAAGTGAGGTGATGGAGAGGTGCATAAATCGCGAGCTTCTGAACTACCTCAAACGTCACGGCTTGACTAGCGACAGGCAGTATGGTTTCCGGCACCAAAGATCCACAGGGGACCTCCTAGCTTACGTCACTCAATTGTGGAGTAAACTCATCCAGTTTTATGGTGAGGCTCATGTCGTTGCTCTTGACATCACGAAAGCGTTCGATCAGCTAAGGGAAGCTGCCTTCTTAAGCAAACTTCCATCGTGTGGCCTCCCAGAAAAGCTTTGCAGATGGGTAGCTGACTTTATCTCTGGCCGCAAGATATCCGTCGTAATTGACGGGTTCTCCTCTTCATCCTACAGCTCTCTTCCATGATGCCGTCGCGCGATGTGCCTGCCAGACAGACCCGCCTAACTTTGGCGTCCCATCCAAACCGTGTTGAACTTCGTACATCCAGAACCGGCCCGAGGGTATCGAGATTGTGAAACAATCTACAAGAGGAAGCTTTTCCCAGTTCTATTAACCTTAGGAAGTTCAAAAATCGTGTTAATAAAATTTCTTTGGGATCATCATAGCAGCCGCGGTGTTCCGACATTTAGGCTTCTGCCTGCGCGGCTGCTTCGATACAAAAAAAAACTGTGTTTGGATGAAATGTACCGTTTAGTGGGACTATTAGAAGAGATTATAGAACTGATTGAAAAACTAACCATATGAAATGGTAGTGAGTTTCTGAAATATTCAGCTAGCAGAAGCTAGCGCTTGTCAAACAGTTTCTCATTGGAATGTTGTTATCTTATGGAGCAAACCTTTTTCACCAAACTATGTGTGGGTGTGTGTGTGTGTTTGTATTTGTGCACGGTAGGGGTATTACGTAGCTTGAAAAGTGACTGTATCGATTTTTTTGACATTATGTGGGTTTTCCAACAAAACGTCAACTTGGGCCCGGCTCTCGTTCACTTCATACGCGGAATGAACTACTTGCACAACAGCTTACTTAGTCAACAAGTTGAGATTTTATCGTTTTTTTTGACATTACATAGGTTTTTTAAGTAACAACCATGCGGAGAATTTTTCATAAGTTCACTCCAAGAAACACTTGCTTGAACTTTTTGTGACACTTAATACGACGTTGAACCATTAATGTAAAATTATTAATATCGGCATACTAGTGAATAAAATGGCACTGCGGGAGGTTACACAAAGCCCATAAATTCTAGATAAAAAATGAAACACCGCGTAAAAATGGACTATGCTATTTTAGATTGTATCGTATAATAGCACAGATCTATATTTTTTAGTTTATTTCGAAGATACACGCTAATAATTTTTACAACCCAGGTAAAATGGCACGTTATATTCATACAAATATCACAAAATGGCAACAAAAAGGGTGAAATATGGATGGTAAGAAAGCTGGTCGGGGATTGTAATAATCCGACCGAGTGCCCCTAAGATACGCCACTAGATCGTCCGCATCAATTGTTCCTGTTGCCTGGTTGTCGATAAAGTGCACCGATAGCGGTCCGCTAATCCGATTCGAATATGAGCAGTCCTGGCGGAAATCTGATATTCTTATCTACGATGTGCATTTGTTCACTTACGACATGAATGACAGCACTGGGATGAGCTAGTGTACGCACGTGTTTCATTCTAGTGACTGGCGTTTTTTGGAGGATTACAGTTGTCAGTGTTCAGTCCCTTATTTTTTCACACCGATGCGTGTGTCCATAAAGTTTCTGCAGAAACAGCCTAGCTAGCGGCATTAAACATGAACCTGTTCTAGAAAATGAGAGGGGAAAAATGTGTGCCAACATTTTTAACTTTGTTCGGCAACCAATCATTCTTCGAGACGGAGATGAAAGCGGATTATTGTTTTCTCATATCTGTAAGATATTTTTTGAGCTAAGAACCTAATTCGGACTTAATAAGAGTAAATAGTTATTGTAATTGCTATGTTACCTAGTCCTTAGTAGATTTCCCTATAAAACCAGCATGGAATCTCAAATAGCACTTCTGTGTATCTATGTAATGATTGGAGATGGTTCCAATTCAGTTCAACGCATTCAACTGGCTTTTACTTGATGATCTACCCGTCTGAGTAGACGTATACCAATAATTAAAGATCTCTTACAGAGAACTGGATATTTCGGGGCAGGGAGTCCTGAGATACTCATCAATTTCGGAACTTTAGGATTAAACTCAGTTTTAGTGTTAGTGTTAATCTGGCGTTAACGGCATTTTTTTACATATATTATTAAATATCAGAAACAATCTTCTTAGCAAAAATCGACGGGTTTAGTGTCAAACGACGTTATTTGCAATTTTATTTTATTATTTATTATATTAGATTCACCATACTTCATTTGATTTTCAAGAACTTGTTCGTCTTATGGTGTCAAAAACTATATCTCCATTTTATTTCCTGAATTAGGGATTACGGTTAAGATACATTTTTTAACGAAATGAATCCAACGATGGTGATTTCACAAATAGTGTAGATAATCTCGTTTGACATTAAGATCTCCAAATTAAACAAAAAACTAAGAAACTAATAAAACTGCGAACAAGAGTGAGAGTTTTGATCGTGATTCAAATTTATATATTTTATTAAGAAGTTGACTTATAGCTAATCCCGAGAGTGATGGAAGAAAGCCGCCACCCATACATTGATCAGATCTGGCACTGATTTGAATTTTAGGATTTTTGCTCCTGAATGTAGAATGTAGAATGTTGACAAAGGCAGTTATAGGGTGAGTCCATAAAATGGGAGATTTTAGGATTTATGGTACCTAGAGCATCTTGTCTAGCTTGCGCATAAACTATTTGTAGGCAATTGCCTACTTGAAAAGTATTTTGGAAAGCCATAATATCCGAAAGTTTCTAGTAACTGTCTACAGTTTATCTGTTTACTAATTCACTGCTAGTCTTAAATATGTTGTTATATTTTTGTTAGTAGATAAAATTACGTTTCAGTAATTGCTATACCTACATTAACTGGACTTACTTTTCACTAATAGCTTTTTTCAGTGATACATCATTTGGGAAAATATTCTGTGAAGACGATTTAGAAGCAACATAAGATAAATCCATAAAAAATAGTACAGTCTCAAAAGTAGCGATTTTCTACAAATTCTTAAAAATTCCGGAAACTCAACAAAGATGCTCAATCGGATAAAGACATATACAGGGTACTAGGGAAATAATATTCGTAACTTTACGAGGTAATTCCTTGCATTATTCTAAGCAAAAAAGTTCATTACAACTTATGTCCGAAAATCAGTCGTTTTCAAGGTGAGTCGTAAATAATTAAATTTTCTCAAACATTTTTCTACGCTGCAACTCAACCGCCTTACGAGCGCACGACGACCGTAACTTGGTGACAATATGCCTTGAATTATTGAATACTTTACGCAATTTTTTGTCGCTAATATTATTTAATAACGCTTTCAGTACAGTACATTTACTTAAAGAACTTACAGACCTTACCGGTACGTGGGGATATACACCACCAATTCTCACGATTATCAGTCACTTATTTGAAACGATGCGATGCACGAAAAACGAAAAAACCAACATCCGTAAATCACATAATGTTACAGTTAAATGTATTAGTAATCACAACAACACGCAATGATATATGCAGTGCAGGCGGAGTACGAGTTTGCCAGTTATGTGAGAGATTATGTTTGCCTGTTTTTCTTAGGAATATTGTATTTAATGACCATTATTTTGTTAGAGACAATTAATAAATAGATGTATTGATACATTTTACATATGAATTTAAATTGTTAAGGTGCAAAATTAATTTATTTCGTGACTAAAAAGGAATAAGTTCAGCATTTCTTTGTTCCGAAACGGTTGACTTTCGGACATACGATATAATGAACGTTTTTGCTTAGAATAATGCAAGGAATCACCTCTTAAAGTTACGAATATTATTCCCCAACACCCTGTATAGTTTTCTGATTGGAAATGCCACACCTTCGTTTGATAGATTCGTGACTTTTGGAGCAACCTGAATAGACACGGCGAATAACTTCTGACATATATCACGAAACGAAGTAAAGAGTTTGATGAACACAATAGTTTGTATATGAGGATCATAGTCGTTGTTTTTTTTACGCCAAAGCAGCTGCGCAGGCAGAAGACTAAATGTTAGGACACCGCGGCTGCTTTGAGGATCCCAAAAAAATGTTGTTAATCCGATTCTTGAACTGAATAAGGTTAGTAGAACTGGAAAAAGGTTCCTCTTGTAGAGTGTTCCACACTCTCGACACCCTCGGGACAGAGGAGCGGTCGTATCGGACAGCTTTAGATGTACGAGATTCGACACGGCTAGGAGGGGAGGCCAAAGTCAGGCGGGTCTGTCTGGCATGGTGTAGCGGTAGAAAAGAGCTAGATCGCTGATACCTCGCCCCTGCGAAAGGGTCCCGAGACTGCTAGAGAAAGATCAGCATCGAGCATAAATAATGTATTTGGGGCGGCAGCACCCCAAACTTGTAAGGAATGCTCGAGGTTAGGCCTTAGCTGGAGCTTGTATAGAGTGAGAAGGTCATGCGGAGAAAAGCACTTGTTAACCCTAAACAAATAGCCTAGCCTTTTCAGAGCAGCTGCCGCTATTGGCGAGAGGTGTTCGTCCAGGTGAAGTCCTCGGTGATCTGGTACTGCGTTTTGGAACCATTAAACAGTACAAGATTGTTGCGTCCCCAAGCAATGATAACCTCCAGGTCTCTCGTCAGAGAGGAATTCGTATCCAGTTATCTTTTTCCAGCTCAGCATCAGAGATCGGCTTGTCGGTCTGAATTCCTACATGTAGAGTGCGGTCACCAACAAAGCTGTGGATTGGGTTATCGTACAGGGAATGAAGTCATAGATATGTAAGAGGAACAGTGTCGGAGCCAAGATCGATCCCTGGGGAGCACCGGCGTTGGCGTTGTGGGATGAAGAGGAGAAGAGATATTTTGCGGCCAGAGAGAAGGTCAGCCACCCATCTGCAAAGCTTCTCTGGGACGCCATAGGACGAAAGTTTGTGTAAAAGGGCAACTGATTGAACGCTTTCGTGATATCAAGAGCAATGACATGAGCCTCACCAGAAGATTACACAATTGCGTGATGTAAACCAGGAGACTCTCTGTGTATCGCTGGTGCCGAGCACAATACTGACTGTCGCTAATCAAGCCGTGACGTTCGGGGTAGTAAAGAAGCTGAAAATTTTAGCACCTCTCCATCACCTTACCTATAACAGAAAGCAGAGCTATGAGCCTGTAGTTGTGAGGGTCGGTCTTAAATCTCAAAATACGTTTAAATATGTCCCACTCGAATTCATCGTTACTGCGAACATTTTCCCGCCAAGAATCTTCATGCCGCGGCTCTCAGTCGATCGGTAGCAGCCGACAAGTGCTAGTGGTTCTACATTCAGACCCTATTTTTTGCGGTTTCTATGTTATAATAGTTGTTTCTATGTCTACAATATGAGCAGGTAAGTTACTTTAGTTATTGTAATAATTTGAACTCGTTGTAATTTGTATCTAAAGTATTTTAGTCGTTAGTTTTTGACTATGGGATATATTTATCCCTCCAGCATGCTTGCATGGGACATATTCGTCCCTCTCGAATAATAACTTCTGTTCGTTTCAGAAGGAGACCTTTGACGAAAGAAGAGTTACAGTGGGAAGCTGATCACGTGTGGGATGAGTCTGAAGATGAGGAGCCATTCCAGGATAGCGGGTCAGAGTATAATCCGTCGGAAAGGGAATCATCCGAATCTGAGGTGGAGACAAACTATTTTTCGGACATCGATGAAAATGGAGAGGAAAGTAACGTAACCAATAACGATGGTATACCCGATAATACACAAAATCACAACGTTCCAAATCCAAGAACCCCTAATCAACTTTCTTGGAGAGTTCCAGACGATAATTATATTCCTCGAAAAGCACTTCCTCCTAGCAATAATTCCCCAGCTACTGTTTTGGCAGCAGTAAATCGGTCTTCCAGTCAACTAGAAGTGTTTCTAAAATTGTTTCCAAGGTGTCTGTTTATGTTTATATCCCAGTCTACCAATGAACGATTGAATATTTTGAATAAAACAAAGCACGCCAAAATCGATCATACCGATCCATCTGAAATGATGATAGTTATAGGTAGTTTGCTTGTGATGAGCTATAACAGAGTTCCTAATATGCAGTTATATTGGTCAACAAATAAATCAATGGGAAATGAAGCCCTAAAGTCAGCAATCTCAAGGGACCGGTTTTTAGTACTTCTTTCAAAACTATATTTCAATAACCCTTCCAAGCCGCCAGATGCTAATAAGACATACTATATCGACGAAGTTGTGTCTTGTCTGAAAAAGACTTTCATTGCGAGTCGTTCCGATAGTAGCTATCAATCGATAGATGAAAGCATGGCTAAATTCAAGGGCCGTTCGGCTCTGAAGCAATATATGCCCCTGAAGCCGATCAAAAGGGGCATAAAGATATGGCAAAGGTGTGATGCTTTGACAGGTTATGTTTATGATCTTAATATTTATGCTGGGAAAGAAACTGAGCAAGTGGAAGGAACTCTAGGAGAGAGAGTAGTGGCAAAGTTATGTGATACAATTCAAAACGCCAATGTTGCTTTATGCTTTGATAGATTTTTCACTTCGGTGAATCTAATGACAAATATACAGTTTCCTGCATTTGGTACATGTAACAGTAATAGAAAAAGTTTACCAGATTTTGGAAAAAAATTAAAAGAACGAGGTGCAATGGAAGTGTATTGTAGTGATACTGGTTTACTTGCAACTAAAATCCTCTTCTGGGATGGGTTGAATATGAGCAAATTTCCAGTTTTCTGGGAAGGTGCCGGATTCATAAGATATCTGGAAGAGGCACGAAAGAACTGGAGCAATTTCCGCGACGCACCTCTTCAGTACAACAGCAGAAATCCAATCCAGACCAGAAGATTTTTTGATGTCAAGCGACAAGAGCACCCGTCTTACGGTATTATGCCTGAATGTTACTTTCCACATAGTGTAAGGAACCCTTTGAATCGACTGCACTTGGGCGTTGGGTGGGACGTCCATGATGGAGTTGGCAGCAAAGAGCTTGGCAAGCACTTTCGGCTTCGCCTTTGAGTCGGTTACAATCGATCCATCCTGACACATGGTGGAAGGCTACTCTGTGAGAAGTTCCTTTTAATCTGCTTGGCCAGCGTCCAGAAATACCGACTGCCATTGCGCTGCGACATTACACTGTGCCTAACTTTTATATCGTGCTAGTCTTTGGCATGGCGGACCTCTTTGTTATATTTACAAGTTTGACATAATCGAAGACGCGAGAACATGTTTTTTTATAAATGTAATTTTGACAATATTAAACTGGTCCCGCAAGTACCAATATCATATCCACCAGCGTAAAGCGGGAAACAGCGCGGCCTGTCATTGCTCCTCTCAACTTGTGACCATCAAGCGATACACAGTTTATTCTGTATTGGCTGTTACTCGCCAACTTATTACGGTTAAATATGCTCCCAACATTGTTTTTAAGTTTTCAAGCAATCGCGTTATTTAAGACTGCCGGGAAGAACGCTAATGTATTTATAAGTATGTATTCCAGGTAACAGAGTTCACCTACTTTTCATTGTCAATCCTTATAGAGCAATGAAAATATAACTAGATAATAATATCTTTCGTTATAACGTAAAGTGCAGCAGTGCGCTCCAAGCATTGAGTGACGTCACCCTCGTGACCTTTAGCCATCCAGCGTCAGCGTCGACCATCTGTCAAGGCTTCGGTTACGTAAGGGCACCCCGCAGAGCCCTATTAGCCGTAGGCCTGAGGGCTGAAGGCAAGATCGCCCGCTTGCGCTACTCTGCTTGTTAGTTATCCAGTTACGGGTGTCACTTTCAATTCCGAACATCGCATGAATAAAATTGGACTTTTAATACGCACCCCAAGGGGGGATATAAACGGAGTAGAGTGGGTACGTGCAGGTTTGTTGTTTTTTTTTATCATATACATAATAGATATTTACAATCCACTGTAGACATCGCTGCTTTTTAAAAAGCTAGATACTGATTTTTTGAACGGATCAAGTTAGCAATTTAAAATTCGAGATAATAAAATTCATGCATGAATATATATGTATATTTTAGTGTAAATGTGGCAGTTTGAGATATCAAGAAGGCGACTAGGCGCCACGTTGGAGTATTTGAATGAAGTGGTGGGTCGTTTGATGCGTCTGTCGGATAGTTCTTATTAGTTCTTCATAAACCTAGAATTGATCGCTATCTTTCAAAGTTACGAACTTACGGGCTGCCATGTTTAAGCGTTATTGTATTATTGTACATTGATTGGCTTACAACTCAGAACCAGTAACTAAACGCTAGAGTATGTTATGTGAATCTACTCTTGAAGAGTTATGTCCGAGTGTGTAATAAAATGTCGAATATTTCATTAGTTTTTTTTCCAAAATGTATCATTGTCAAATATTTGATTGCACATTTCCAAAAGAATTAGATAAATACAACAGACCATATCTATCGGTATGATTGCTTCTTGAGTTATAAGCGACTCAATGTACCAAAACGTTCAGCTATGACTTCACCCAGTAAGCCACCTTTAAAAACGATAAATCTTAACTTTAAAGTTACAAATTACTGATAAGGCGCTTCAAAATGAGGTATCACACGTATCACCATTCCATTTAGAAAACGTCATCTTTACGTTGAAATATACTATCGATTTTATCACACCAAATTTGAACTTACTAACATGACCTATTCAAGAAATAAATGGTAGTAGAACCGTTTTTGAAAAGGTAGCAAGTCACAAGAAATCCGATAAAGGCAAAAACGAGTAGTTACTCGAGGAAGATGACAATTATTAATTTATTCAGAAGTCAAACGAAAAATAGTACATTACATACCTGCATAGAAAATTGAGATTCTACCAAACTATCCACAGATATTGAATTAAAATATTTATAATGACACTTCGGCCAACTCAGTGGCCTTTTCTTAAAGTACAAAGTGTCAATGACAATATATACTAAAGTGACATATAAATCCGAACACCCAGTTTAAATGGTTTTATTTTAATAAAATTTTGCATAAGTACTTAATGAAGCATAATAAGTAAATGATAAAAATTTCAAAATGATTGCACTGCTTTAAAGCCCTTTGACCTTTAATAATGTGTGGATGCACCCTGATGTGCTACGCATTCTCCAACGCGCCTAGGCATGCTTCTGATCAGGTGGTCAATGTCCTCCTGTGGTATCTCATTCCAGGCAACCACCAACTCCTCTCGAAGTGCTTCTAGAGTCTGAGGAGGACGTTGCAAATTGAGCAATCTCCTACCCATCATATCCCACACGTGCTCAATTGGGGATAAGTCGGGAGATCTTGGTGGCCATGGTAACAATGTGACATCATTATGTTGAAAGAAGTCTATTGTGACTCTTGCAACATGTGGTCGGGCATTATCTTGTTGGAAAGTTGGATCTGCCAGGGTGTCAAGATAGGTTAAAAGATGGGGTGCTTGAACTTCGTGGATATAACGCTGCGAGTTCATGTTACCTCTGATGAAGATTAAAGGTGACCTGGAACCATAAGCTATAGCATCCCAAACCATAACTCTGTGATGAACATGTCTTTCATCAAAAAACTGTGGATTCCACCTTTCACCACGTCGCCTTCTAACCCTGGCACGACCATCGTGCATGCCTAAACAAAATCAAGACTCGTTACTAAAGACAATACTGTTCCATTCCTGATCCCAGAGTGACCGTTGTCTGCACCACTCAAGGCGATTACGTCGGTGTTCTCGAGTTAAAGGGAGGACCCAGTGTGGCCGGTATGAAAACAAGCCAAAACTTCTCATTCGTCGGTAAACACTTCGCATGCCAATAGGTCTTCCGTGTTCTGCAAACCATTCATTTGCAATGGACCTGGTAGTGGAGAAACGGTCCCTTAAGGCCAATAATCTTAGGCGGCGATCTTCACGGTCTGTTGTTCTCCGGCGGCGTCCAGTGCCCCTTGCTCTTTGCGAACGGCCTTCTCGAAGCAATGCCTGACAACACCTAACCACAGTGTCTACACTTCTTTGCACTCTAACTGCAATTGCCCGAAAAGAAAGTCCAGCTTCCCGAAGTCCCACTATACGGCCCCTATCAAACTAACTAAGTTGACGAAATCGTACAGGTCTCCGTACTCTAGGCATCGTAACCGATCGTAAAGGATGTCAAGAACCAAAATCCGCCAACGTTGGTTCTTTACTGCGGCTGAAATATTCATTTTTAGAGCGTTAGTGAATTAAAAAAAGCAGTATAAAAACCGGAATGTCCAACTGATAAGGCTGAAAATTTTTCACTTGTTATTTACAGTAAGATAAATACATTCACCAACTTTTATTAAAATAAAACCATTTAAACTGGGTGTTCGGATTTATATGTCACTTAGTATACTTCCATGTGAGAGCCATCTAACAAAGCGACTGACGTCAGTAAATCTATAAACTCTATAACTATGGTTTCTTTGGCGACCACTAGAACTTATGGAATGTAGGTGATGTGCTGTCCAAGGGCACTAAAATAAGGTGATATAGGGTGTGCTTCGTAGTCGATAGCAACAAGAGTTTATTGATTCTAAACATGAAGGACGAAAAAATTAGTGGTATTAAACGTATTTGAGTGGAATTTTACATCAAAATATTTGTATGAGCGAGATATTTGCACTTCAACCGATTTAGTGGTCAAATAAAAAAAAAGCAGTTTGTAAAATGATAATCGTCTGCTGGTATTTTTTTATTTATTTCTCGAACTGTAACCTGCTTTTCTGTTGGAACCTGTGTTTACAAATAAGTGATTAACGACATTCCACTGGCGCAGAATGGATGGCGAGGTGAATATTTGTTCAAAATGTAAAAAGAACCTAACAGAAGACTTTTACCAGTGTGATGCTTGTGGAGATTCATACGGGGTGTGCTGCGCTTTCTAGCTCTGAAGGAAGATGTATGCCATTGCAAAAGCGTGTGCTGTTTTTGCTTGTGATGAATATCAGGTTGTGCTGAAGAAAGTTCCAACGATGGTTCTGCTAATGAAAGAAGTTAAACAACAATTGGCCAACATGAGGAACATGGATCAGCCGCTGTTAAAAAAATACTAAAGAAGTAGTACTTATAAAACCAAAAGAGAAAAACTAGATAATTCAGTAACACAAAAGTCTATTGAAGAACAGATAGATCCACGGTCAATTGACATAGGCGTATCAAGAGTAAAGTGTATTCGGGATGGGGGAATAGCAATAACGTACACGGAAAGAAGATATTAAGAACATATCAGAAAATGTAAAGGAGAAAATGCAGAAGTATGAAATAAACATTCCAGAGAAGAAAAACCCCAAATATAGAAAAAAAAATGCCCAAAACCATGAAGCATTAATTGAAAGTATTGTTTATCAAAATGGTAGCACAACAGAGAAGAATCAAACATTGGAAGTCATAAGTACGTATGAAGACAGAAGAGAAAAAGAAAACGTGGCTATAATAGAAGTTGTTAAACAAACATATGATCAAGTGAGGGAGCAGAACTTTTTGTATGTTGGGTGGAGGAAATGTAAATATTTTGATCACGTTAACATAATTAAATGTTTTAAATGTTGGAGATTCGGACACATGGCTAAAGATTGTAAAAGTTCAACAGATGTTTGACTAAAATGCAGTAAAGAACATAAACAGGAGGAATGTACAAGCAGTAATGATATTTGTGTTAACTGTAAACATGCAAAGGGGATATTAAAGATCCGAGGTATCAATTATAATCATTGTGCATACAACAGAAATTGTGAAACATACAAGAGAATATTTAGGGAACGTCAAACAAGGGTTAACTATCCTAACTAACCTAACATTTGACAACTGATGAACAAATAGCCATTAAAGTAGCAAAATATTACATACTTAAATATAGAAAGCCTATTAGCACATAAAGCACAATTAGTTTGGCTGGCACATCAATGGAAACCTGCGATTATTTGTTTTGATGAAACACATATTACTACAGATTTAGAAGAAGGGGAATTGAAAGTAGATGGATATCGAGCAGTTTATGCATACTCAGAAAGTAGGCATAATGG